ACAGATAAAATATATCGTTGCTCAGCTTTTGTGCAGATACACATTTGTAGGTTGGTTGGTTTTCTTTAGCGGCATACCAACCTCTATGGGTTATTTAATGCAGAAATATAAATATTTTGAATACAATTTTATGTCTTCAACTAAATATATACTATAAATAGGTATTCTTGGTAATTTTACTGTCAATAGGTATTGTTGGTAATGTTTAGATGTGGTAGGGGTGATATCACCCCTGAAATAATAATAATAATAAAGGAGGATATGCTGTAAAACAGAAAACACTAAGTGAAAGTGAAGTTTTCAAATAACTAAGATGTAAATATGCTGTAAAGATTTTTAAATATAAATCTTACAGGAAGTTAATTTAGAACACGAAATACAATCTTTTTGTAAGTGTACAAAAGATATCAGATTACTAATAGAAAATTACTGGATCAATAATAATTTAGAACTTAAAATAAAGGATGTTTTGATCCAGAATTATTTTTTAAAGAAGACTCTCTGTAGTTTACAAAGAGCGGCAGAATAATTAATAGCGAGATGATAAACAATACCGTCTTGATGTCAACGTTGGAAATCAATCGATGAAAAAGCATATTGTTTATTGTCGGAGGAGTGAAGTTGTAATTTGTTAGTATGTCAGTGCCGTTCGCACCAGGAAAAAATACGTCACCATTCTGAGACACGTGAGGCGGTTCTCTTAATAAAGAGGTGAGCCAACCGGAGGAAGAGAGTTTTGGGTTCGTCTGTCTTCGAATGCAGTCGAACTGAGTGGAGAGACGTCAGAGATTGACAAGGAAGCGTCCTCTGTGTGTTGCTGAAGCTGAGGACGAGGAAGTGAATTACCGCCGCTAACATCTAAGTACCGCTACTCCTGCTACTACTAATACTGCTACTATTACTGAGAACGGGAACATCGAAGGTTGTAGTAGTTGCTCTAAGAACAGACCAAAAGAGTTAAAATGAAGGCCACATCTCTCCTTACTGAAATTAATCGAAGTATTTGTGTTTGGTTATTGTTCACATATAGGAAACATTCAACCTTATGCAACAAGAATTTTGTGTGTGTTTTTTCTTTTATTTTTAAAAAAAACTTTTGTCCTTTCAAAATCGAATTGACTTGGTTATATTTATTTTTCGGTTAACCCAACTCTCACCCGACGAACACTCAGGTGGACCAACCGAGAGCTTCCGGATTTCTACGCTCTGATGAACATTCTCCAGGATCAAAACAATCACAATGTGGCTGGAGGGTGGCTTCAAATTGATATTGGGAACCAGAGACTGGTGTCTAACCTGTAATACTGGACCAACAGCCAGTCTTGTAGAGTGCGTGGGTTCAGTGGAATGAGGATACGGTATTACATATACATAAGAATATATTGCTGGTATTTTTACTATAAAAATGTATTTTTATACTTTCATAGTATTTGTTTTTGTTTTGGGGGGAGGGGGATATTCACGATTTGCCTATAGCAGTTTTATGTTGTAGTTTTGTTGAAGCTATATTTCGGAATATCGTCTGATTTAAGAAATTGTAAGGTATTATATGGATTAATGTCATGACAGAATTCTTTTATGTTGGTTGTTTGATTTTGCTTGGCGACATATCAATCTCTCTGGGTTATTTAATGCCGAAATCTAAATATTTTGTAATTTTATAATGTCAATTACAGATATTTTGTACATAAGTTTGTGCTTTCTGAGTAAAGGTATGTTTTTTAAGATATATATTTTGTACATCATAGAATGTATTTTGGTAATTTTACTATGAAATTTTATTTTTATTCACCTCTTTTAAAGTTGTTAATAAAACGCGCGGTAGTCTTAGAATTTCCAGACGACAATATTTATCGTCTGCTATGAAATTTTGTAGGATCATTTCAAAAAATGATCCACAATATTTTCCCTTTTTAAAATGGATATTTAAAAATTGGGAAAACATTTATTAACCAATAACTTAATCCAATTTTTGTCTTTTTCTAAAGCCGATGTTACGGTTATAAAAGCGGTCAAATTTGTTCCCAGAGCTCACTTTTCAGTTAACCCATTACTAGTGTCATTCGCTGTTATACAAGTTAAAATTCTCAAACCTTAATTAATTACTTACATTTTCGCATATTTATTCGAGGATACTATGTTACAAAAAGCGCTTAGCATTGTTGAGTTAAACACAAAGAAACATACTAATCGAGTTATTGTCAACACAAATTAATGATGCTATGGTTCACTGACTGCTTATTGCTGTTACTGGAAAATTACACGCATACATAAAACAACGTAAATGCGTGACACGCTTATTCTTATATGTGGACGCATTCTGTTTCTTCGATACTAACGCAATTGATTCGATTCTATTGTAAACACGGAAAAATATTTTTTGTGTGAAGCTGTTTTGCAAAGAATCTTTGTAATTCATTTCTTTCAATTTGAAAGAAAACTAACACTCAATAATAAAAATGTATTTAGATTTGTAGAGCCGTGTTAAAAATCGTTTATTTCTTCGTTCGTCTACGCATATTCTTCTATATATTTGGATCAGCCTTAACCGTAAAGCAAAACGTTAGCGGCTATAAACAATTTCGTCAAAATATGTCTATTCACTCATTCACTGTGATTGTTGTCTTATTAAATTTATGTCCGAAATTCAATAGCAGAAAAAGGCTTTATATGTCGTTAAATGATGACATAACTATTTAAACATTAAAATGTTCTGCATGGTAATGTCTACCAAGGAAGAGGACATGAAAAATGACAGCACAATATATATTTTTTCTTTTAAATCTTGCATTCATGGTAATTGTTTTCAAATTTGCAAATACGAGGGGGGACCCAAAAGTAACCGGGATTGTGTCATATAATTCTATTCATTTAGTGTTGCATGTTTATATTCTTATCACCTTCAATGTATTTGAAGCAATGCACCGATCCAGACGTGTTTTCCATTGTTCAAAGCAGACCTGGAACTCTTGTGAAGTTATGTTTTTTTTAATGACTCCGTCGTTTTCTTCTTAACCACTTCCGCATCTGCGAAACGTTTTCCTTTGAGGACTTTCTTCATTCGGGGGAACAAAAAAACGCCGCAGGGGCGAAGGCGGGGGCGAGATCGGGTGAATAGGGATGTTGGGGAAGTGGAGTCATGCTATTCCGGGTCAGAAACTGTCTCACACTCAAGGCGGTGTGCGCTGGCGCATTGTCGGGATGCAACATCCAGCCTCCACTTTGCCACAGGTCAGGGTGTTTTCGTCTCATCTTGTCTTGCAAACGCTTGAGGACTTCCAAGTAAAAAGCCTGGTTAACAGTTTGACCAGGAGAAACAAATTCTTTGTGGAGAATTCCTTTCACATCAAAGATACAAATCAGCATCGTATTGACATTGGACTTCACTTGACGCGCTTTTTGGGGGTCGTGGTGACGTTGGGTGCTTCCACTGACTTGATTGCTGCTTTGTTTCCGGGTCGTAGCCATAGCACCAGCTTTTGTCACCAATGATGACCTTTGAAAAAGGTCAGGATCAACTTCCAACTGTTCTTTCAGTTTACGCCAGTCATCCTTTCAGCCATGGTAAAAATAGACGAAAAGGCGTGAAGCACTTCAAAACAAATGTGAACCACGGAGCTGTACGTCTTCCCACGATCACACCACTTAGCACACTGATGCCTGAGGGTTGCCTCAAGTGGCATCTAGCGGTGGAAGCCTGAACTACCACGGGCTTGTCACACAGAAAACGATTCCGTTTACTTCCCCACCCCTCGTATGTTTTTGATGTCTTGAGAAAAGGTTGATTATATTGATTCTGATTTGAAATTTGTTTGCCCACTTTTCTAAACTAGATATGACTATTTATTTTCATACACGGAACCTAGCGCCCGCGGGGACAATGGTATCGCCACTAACTTACTAAACTAATATTGAAGACCCTCTCATGTAGATGTGTAGATCTACATGAGAGTAAGCACATATGAATATTTTGATGCAAGTCAATGCGCGTGCCTCTGCCTTGACCCACTCACCCAACCGATATTCCATCAATCTTTCAATCAGTAAAAACGGACACTCTTTATCTATTTACAACATCCTTCTGATTAGAATCTTATGATTTCTTTTGAAAAGTTCGTCGTCCCAGCGTTTCGCCGTTATGTGCGCTATTGTCCTTTTTAACTAACCAATCAGAATTGGGTATTTTTCATCCATAGAAAAAGCGGGAAAAGGGGTCAAGGGGTGTAGTAAGTGGTAAGATACGTGCTGGGAAGATGGTTCTCCCGTTCTTTATGATTGTGTACAGTGGCCTAATTGAATGTCTTCAATGTAACGTTTCTTTTTTTATTTACTTGAGTGGAATTCTGTCTTTATTTTAGTTTCACTTTCTCTTTGTTTATTCCTTCTTTAATTTTCATTTCTTTCTGGTTTTTTTTTTTTGGTTTTTTTCTTGATTGATTTTTCCTCTTCAGGTTCGCTTTTCTTCTCTTACTTTCTTACCACTTTTTTCTCGCTCCTTTCTCCTTCTTTCTTTTGCTTTCTTTCTCTATCACAATCCTCATTTTCCAGTCTTTATAAGGTATAAAAGCAGTCACGTTGAATTAATCGATAGCACCTCGCATTGAGGAATCAGAGAGCCGAGTTCGATTCCTATGTGAGTTCCTTCATTTTTTTTACGTGCAAATACTCTTGGGAAATCTGTGAATTCATCTCTTCTCCCCACCCCCTACACACACACAACTATGGCTAAAATGACAGAACTAACAGGGTCCTTTAGTCTTGAATGACAACAGGTCTAGGAGAAGACAACTTTGGATTCCAAACTTGCTACTATGGGTAAATATAGAACAGACTGGGTTTTCAGCCTTGGTTGGCAATCAGTCTAGAAGATGATTAAATTCAAAATTGTATGAAGCCCTCGTGAAGCACATACTTCGCAGCTAATTAAAGGGTCGTCGGGTTTATAACTTTATGATTCTAATTGGACCTTGATTGATTGATCAAAGTACAAAATCGTTTACATGTTGTACTTCATTCCCTACTTCCTCATCACTCACAGCCTTTTTCTTTTCTCTCTTTCTCTGTCACTCTTTCTTTTTACTCTTTCTTTTCTCTCTTTCTCCATCTCTATTCCTTTTTACTCTTTCTTTTCTCTCTTTCTCTGTAACTCTTTCTTTTTACTCTTTCGTTTCTCTCTTCCTTTATCTCTCTTTCTGTTTGCTCTTTCTTTTCTCTCTCTCTCTCTCTCTCTCTTTCTTTCTTTTTTTGCTCTTTCTCTTTTACTCTTTCTTTTCTCTCTTTCTCTGCCATTCTTCTTTTTTACTCTTTCGTTTCCCTCTTCTTTTATGGAGAATTGTAGTTTAAAAACAGTAAAATCGACCTTGCTCAGGGAGGTTAGCATTAGCCATGCAGGATGGATGGCAAAAATTGTTCTCTATGATTATCATATCTTAGTAGTTTCCTTTTGGGAGCGTTAAAATTTACAAACCATTTCTTGCCCAAGTCAACAACTGACTGAATGTCATCTTCGAGAGTAGCTAATTTTTGTTCAGTTCAACTGGACTTACTATGAAGACAGGAGTAAATATTTTTATCATCAGCATAAACACCGAGGTAAGGACTGATGACATCGGGAAGGTCGTTGTAGAAGTGTTGTGAAGTAAATAAGACATCCCGGTAACACAAAATGAACAAGGCAAGACGCCTTAAATAAAGAACGCAAAGTAAGCTAGAAGCCCGTTGGAGTTGGTCCAGAGTTGGTTAAAGCTTACTCAGGACGATTCTAGTCTCGCCAGGCGCACGACGTGTTTTTATTGCTAACCGATTGGAACTCATATTTTTGTGTTGGAAGAATTCTTATACATTATGAAATGGACAAATCCGACAATTATTTTAAGACATTTTTTATGTCTATACGTTCTTTTTATAGATACAAATATTTAAGTAAATGCTCTGTTTATAATAAAATAATGTCATAAAAGAACTGTTATATTTTTACGTTAATTTATCTCTTATTTTTTAGATTGTTTTTTGCTGTTATTTTGTGGAAGATTTTTAAATTTTCTTTTTCACACTGCGTAGTCTTTTTTTATATATACAGGGTGTCCATAAAATCCGTATGCACTTTAAAAATTTATAACTTTATTTGTATTTGCGATAAAAATACTTTGTAAAAAAGATTAGAAAGAAGTAAATCTATATTTTTTAATGTTTTATTGAAATTTTATTTATGTGGCACCTTGCATTATTAGAAATATTCATAGAAATATGATTTAATTTTTTCTTACTCGGTTTACTAAACAGGTTGTTGATTTTTTTTAAAACGGAAAATAATTGAGTTGAAAATAATTCACTAAGATTGTACTTGGACGATCCTAAGGGAAGAAGAAGGAAGGGGAAAGAGAGAGGTCGAGAGAAATACAAAAAAAGTCATTAACAAAAAAACACGAGTCAGAAAGATATCTTAGCTAGCATGTTGACCGAATTTTTTAAAGACAATTGGAAGAATAGAATTAGAAATAATAAAAAGAAAGAAAGGGAAAAGACATGATATCAAAACGGGCCGCTTGATGAAAACCAGATATCGGTCAAAGCATCTAGCCTACTTTTGCGTAGAAAGACACCTTATCAATTTGGATAAAGGGAAATTTTGGGAACAATGAAAACGAAATCTTAATCAGAGAAAAAGTGCTTTTGGGTTGAGGGGAGGACCGGTGGAACGGTATACAGATTCTGACCTGTTAAAAAATTAGAACCCCCACATTGACGAGTGAAAGATGTTTTCAATTCAGATAAATTAAGATTTTCTGACTGCCGGGTCTGACAAAAAACAAGAGGTGAAAAAAACGATTGTCTCAGATCACAGATGGCGACAATATTCTTTCCTGAAGTCACAACTAATTAGCGGCGGGCTGGTTGACAGAGCCCAGGTGAGAGAGAGCCAAGATTGTCATTTTTCGTACGTGCAGAAAAGGCAAAATTGGATTTTGGTTTTTTAAAAACAAGAACGATGTAACCACGCCCGAAAGGAGGAGAAAGGATGCTCGATCAATAACAATTGGTCGGAAACGGTCACGTGATCTGCAGAAAAGAAGAGAAAGAAATGCCCGATCAGGAACCATTGGTCGAAAAACGGTCACCTGACATACGAGAGACTAAGAGAGATGGGTGTGCACCTCCCCACAAAAGGCACTGTGAGGAAGTAGGGGCGAAAACAATAGCGATAATGAGAAATCAAAAATAATGCGACTTTTGGAATTATCGAGAAAACCCTGACGCCGACAGACCCACCCCGGTTTGCTGCGGCGTCAATAAAAAGCAGGGCCCCAATCGACAAAAGGCAGTTCAGCCCCGGACGGCAGCGAGAAGAGATCACCTCGGACGACAGAGAGTTGCGGCTGAGTTGCGGCAAGAGATCCTTCCAGCCCAAGTCGAAGACAAGAGAACTTCCAGCCTAAGTCGACGAAGAAGAAGAAATACAACCCAAGTCGAAGACAAGAGAACTTCCAGCCCAAGTCGAAGACAAGAGAACTTCCAGCCTAAGTCGACGAAGGAGAAGAAATACAACTCAAGTCGAAGAGAAGAATCAACTGCGAATGATCGATAGAAATTAGCCCCAGTGTCGAACCAAACCACACTCCGACATACACAATTCTAGAGAGTAGGCAATTCGAAATCTTTAGGTTGTGTGATAGAAGCTTGTGCCATAGTCCACAGAGCGGGTTGGGAAATGAGAACCATTTTGTTTTTTATGTAGCGGACATTAAGATATAAAAGGTTGTTACCCATTTTTTTTCATCAGCAATCTTTTTGTCTCGTGAGTTTATTTTCTCTTTTATTTGTGTTTTGCCACCCCCGTCGGACTCAACTTGTATCGGCCCCAATCCCTGCTGGTCCCGTCTGTCTAAGATCTAAACACAGCGTGGGTTGACAGACCGGAGATCGGTACAGTTGCTTTAGTGACCAGGTATTGGAAGCGAGTCGGGAAAGGCGAGGCTGGTGATCATCTGACCAAGGGGTTGGAGCGGCACGCTTGGACCCAGGAGGAGCGACCAGGAGGAGCGACCAGGAGGAGCGACGTCACCGTTGGCGCCGTAACCAAAGGATCCGACCCTGGGCCAGGTGTGTAACCGTCACATTTAAGTTTCCACATGTCTTCCATCAAAGGGTATTACGATTTTGCAGTTCACGGAAAACATTTGCCAACTGATTTACAGTAATGCCTGAAATCACATTAGTTATTTTAGCTATACTTAAAACTAGGTACATTAAACTTTATAACAGTTTTTACAGATTATTTCTATCGCAAAGACAAATAAAGTTATAATTTTTTAAAATGCACACGAACTTTATGGACAGCCTGTACATGAGTAGACATGTATATATCTTCATGTATGAACAAGTACACATTTTTATATATATTTATTGCTAGTGTAACATCCAGTCTATTGATTTTTTTTGATTTTTTTTTTTTTTGTATACTGTATTTTCAGTTTCAGTTCCTTCATGTCGAGCAGGGTTGAGATTGATTTTTAGAGATGAGAGGATACGAGACAGGGGGCAAGATCAAACGCGATAAGTCTGTTGGCTTATGGTTGGATGCGAGTAAGGGAGTTTCAATCCCACCCCACCCCACCCTCGGACTTTTCCCCTGGAGTGAAGATACTCGGTGTCTCGTTCGGTCCCGATCTCGTGCTGGAAATGAATTGGTCGGAGGTACGCGAGAAGGTCGAGGACGCAGTTCGTCTGTGGTCTCGGGGGTTATTTTTCCTTAAAGGGGAAGGCGGGAGTATGTGTTTTGCATATCTACCCAATTTTCCTTTACCGACTATCCTTGATTGCACTCCCCTATGTCATACTAATGCAATTAGAGTATTGTCCTCTTTCTTATAGGGAAGCAAAACTCTAAAAGTATGTCGGGAGATCTGTTGCTTCCACCCTTCTGAATGCACTCTGGGTATACCTAGCGTTGACTCTCGTCAATATACGCTTCGCATTACGTTTCTAAATCGAATGTGTTCGCAAGCGGATGGGAATGGCGAAGTCTGAAAAGACACTAGTAAGACCTTTCCGTCCCTGAGATGTGGGCAATCGTGCGAGAAGTCCCACCGTTTACCCTGAAACAAATGCTTCGTGGATACCGGTTAGCTCTCAAGTTCCTCTCATGGCCAACGGATAGTCCTCTTCGACGTCCAGGCGTCGGCCCGTAAGGTACTGTACCAGATGTTAGTGAGGGGGTCCGTTTAAGATGGTTTGATTGGTGAGTTTGGTTCAACGAAGCAGAACGTTCGCTCCATATGCCCTCGAACACCTGGGTTGAAATGCCTCACTAACAATGAGGCGAAAAGTCCCCTAGGTTGGCAAAAAAACTTTCTACAGAGGGCTTGGGAAATTCTCCCAACTGCGTCCGCTGCGATGAGTCGGTGAAGAACCTGGGTCATTACTAAAAACGTCCTAGTCCCGTTGTACATGTTTATTGAAGACATCACGGTTCGCATGCTTCACGGAGAATTCTTTCTCCTTGAGGCCAGTCCTGTTTGTAGCACTGTTGTAACATCGTTGACTAAGCTGTGTCCTTGCGCTTACTAGGTGTTATGAGAGTCGTGATATGAAGGAATTCTACGGAGACGAAAAGTTTACCTCTTCCGAACTGATCTTGCTTTTTAAGCATCAGCTTAAAGTCAACATCAGGACGGGAAGGCGACGACTACCTTCATCAAAATTTGGCAAATTCCCCCAACTGCGTCCGCTGTGGCGAATCGGCAGAGATCATTGGACACGGTTTCTTCCACTACAAGGTCGTAGTCCCGTTGCGTAAGTTTATTGAAGACATCGTGCTGCGCGAAAAGTTGTTTGACCTTGAGGCCAGTTTTATTTGTAGAATGTGGTAACGTTGTTAACGAAGGCTGAGCACTATGTGTTCTTGTGGTTACTAGGTGTTATGCGAGTCCTAATATGGATGACATCAGAAGGGATTCTATGGAGGCGAAATCTTGTCCTGATCTTGCTCTTTAATCATCAGATTAAAGTCAAGATCAGGACTGGAAGGCGATGACTTCTTTCATCAGAATTTGGTAAAAATTTTTCCAACGGGTTTAGGAAATTCTCCTAAATGCATCCGCTGTAACGAATCGGTAGAGACCCTTGGTCAAGCCTTCTTCCACAACAAGGCCGTATTCCCGTCGTGCAAGTTTATTGAAGATATCGTGCTGCGCGGAAAGTTGTTTGACCTTGAGGTCAGTTTTATTTGTAGAATGTGATAACGTTGTTAACTAAGGGTGAGCAATATGTGTTCTTGTGGTTACTAGGTGTTATGCGATGACGTCAGAAGGGATTCTATGGAGGCGAGAAGTTCACTTCTTCCCAACTGATCTTGTTCTTTAAGCATCATCTTAAAGTCAAGATCAGGACGGAAAGGCGACGACTCCCTTCATCAGAATTTGGCAAAAGGTGGGTGAGGCTTGGGGAGGCATTCTGGTGCTGGTTAGTCGTCAGGATATTGAGAGCTCTGTATTAAACATTGGCAATCCCGCCAAAAATAGGACAGTTTAGATTTATTTTGATTTTTTTGATTTTCTACGCCAAGGTAACTTAGCTAGGAGATGTATGACCGTTGACCTTTTTTTATTTTTGTCCCCACTTTCTTTACTTTAATTCCCTATCCTTTCCCCCTCCCCGTTAGGTATCCAGGAATGTTAGTTCCCTGGTGAATGTGGGACATTTTTCATTTTTCGAGTATGTTCTTTAGTAATTGCTGTCGTGTCTGAATGTGTGTGTGTGTGTGTGTGTGGTTTGTCGAATTATTACTTTTCAGTTGATCCCATTTCCGCATTAATTTCGTCCAATTAGCTGATATTTCTGCCACAGTTAAGGGTCGTGAGGGAAGGGGTTATTACTAACGCCATTTTGTTTAGTTTCTCGTATATAGTATAGCTGGCCACTCGCATCCGAAGATACCCGTCTACTAGACTAATCCCTATTGCAGACGCTTGCTCAGGAGCATTTGTGTTCATTCAGCACCCACAGTTTATATTGCAACTATGGCTGAGCAGACCTTAGTTACAGTTTCTAGGAAAGAGTGTGTTATCTAGCGTGATCAACAATTTGTACAAAGCCAGCATGCTCAAATATGTGCCTTCCTGTTAGCACAGCTATCGACAGACCCCAAGGGTTCCGTCTACCTAATATCACACACAAAGCTTGGGTCAACACATGGTATGGTTTTCAAGCACTTTTCAAAGGTGCCGCATGCTGGTATAGAACCTCCAGTTGAAACTGGTAGATGTAACCGTAAGTTCTATGCTAACAGTTTCTTCTATCGCACTTCTCACTTGTGGAACTCTCATCTGGCTTCTTACTTTGCAGGAACCTTTGATCTTCAAAAATTTAAATGCAATGTCAATCGTTATCTTCTGTCTTCTTAATTCCAGTTCTTTTATTGTCCTCTCTCATTAATAGTAGTTTTTCTCATATTCTCTAACATTAAATAACCCCTTGCATCCTAGTGGCTTTATTGCCTTTGATCTTCAAAAATTTAAATGCAATGTCAATCGTTATCTTCTGTCTTCTTAATTCCAGTTCTTTTATTGTCCTCTCTCATTAATAGTAGTTTTTCTCATATTCTCGAACACTCAGTAACCCTTTGCATCCTAGTGGCTTTATTGCCTTTGATCTTCAAAAATTTAAATGCAATGTCAATCGTTATCTTCTGTCTTCTTAATTCCAGTTCTTTTATTGTCCTCTCTCATTAATAGTAGTTTTTCTCATATTCTCGAACACTCAGTAACCCCTAGCGTCCTAGTGGCTTTATTGTCGTACTTTGGGCGAAATGATTAAAAAGAAAATAATAGTAGGGTAGAGCCTTGGTGGACCTTCGCATTAATGTGACAAGATCTAGAAGCATGGCCGTTCAAGAAGACTTTCATTACACGATCTGTTAAGAACGATAGGATTAAGTCAAATATTCGGCTAGACGCTGAAATCCACATATTTCTCATATAAATATAAGTATAGTAACTTCCTGCCTTTAAGTACAAGGGTCCTTTTGGTGTATATTTTCTCTAAAATTTCATTGTTGCTCAGATGTTCGGTCCATGTTATTCTCAGCATCCTTCTGTAGAACCACATTTCTGTTGCTTCAGGTCTCTTCTTCATCTTCGAGGAGATTGTCACAGCCATATCGGAGGACTGATATTACATTTTTTTATTTGTTTCTCACAAAATCTTTCCTATTTCTTAATACTATGCTTAGCTTTTCAAAGCCATTTTTCGATATCCCAATACGCCTTCGAATTTCAGTGTCATACTTTCCGTCTTCTGTTAAAACATTTCACAGATATTTAATTTTTTGTACATGCCTGATTTTGGTGTCTCGAATTTGTAATTTGCATGTTGGGTTGCCCCTTTTTGCTAATATTCTGTCTTATTGCAATTGATGCTTAGTCTTTTCTTCTCGTTTTCCTTCACTGCATTCTGTAGATCTTGCAGTTTGAATTTTTAAATCTTAATTTTATTTTCCTTCATTATTTTTTCTTCTTTTTTCTTCACTCTTTTTCTTCTTTTTTCTTCACTCTTTTTCTTCTTTATATTCTTTTTCTTTCCATTTTTTCAATTGATTCTTTATTGTTGCTTCTTTTCTTTATTTCCTTCATTTTCATACCTTAATTTCTTCATTTTTTTCCTTCCCTATCCTTTTATATTTTCTTCTTCTTTTTTGCTTTCTTCCATTCTTTTTTGTTTTTGTTTTTAATCCTTTGGTGTTTCGATTTTATTATCCCGCTATTCCTGTTCGTTTTTTCTCCATCGCTATTCAATAATTCCAGTTTATTTTCTTTATTTTAGCAATAACCCTGTCTTTTCTTCTCATAATTAGACTCTTTGATGGAGTTGGCGAATAAGCACTAAAAACAGAAATATTTTTTTTAATTTGTTTTTTTTGTTTTTTTTTTTCATATCCCTATAAATTAAATACTTCGGATCACAAATATCTATAAAAAAAAATAATTCAATTTTATAAAATTTAAGAGGTACCAATTTACTATTTAAAGTCAATGTAAATTAATCCTCTCCGAAAGCCGAAGCAAATAATGTTAAGTTTTATAAAAAAAAATATTTTTTTTAAATCGCAATCGATGGTAAAATATACAAAAGGACTCCAGATTACAAAATTCTTTTTTTTTAATTTTAAGAAATCATATGTTATCAGCATATTTTCTTTTGGCTTCCGTGGGGATTCAATTTACAATTAATTTACATAGCAAACTGGATACCTCTCTTGACTTTTATAAAAAAAATTAATTTTTCTTATTTGTGATCGATGGTAACATATAAAAAAGAACTCCAGATTACAAAATTCCTTCTTTTTTTTTTTTAATTTTAAGAACTCACATGTTATGAGCGTATTTTCTTTTGGCTTCCGTAGGGATTCAACTTATTATTTAGACTAAAAAATATAGACAGATACTCTTGACTTTTATAAAAAAAATTAATTTTTCTTATTCATGATGTTGAGTGATTAATCTATAGAAATATGGCCAAAAAATTATTAAAAATATTGAAAAAAGAAATATTTAAATTTTTTTAAAAACATCATTGTTTCTGGTCGCAGTTTGTATTCAAATCCACCATCTAATTATTAAGACCGGGAACGCATATTTTGTTTTGACTTCCGTATTTGTATTCGTGATCTAGAGTGCTTCATTTGGTGTAATATGACAAAAAATGATTATTTCTGGTCGTAGTACGAACTGTACAAATCAACTGTTTCTTTTTTTATTCATTTTGTCTAATACGTTTTTTAGCTGTTTTTTTTTTTTTTTAGTAGTTACTTTCACTTGTTCCTTTTTTATTCATTTCCTTCTTTCTCTTCAAATTCTGTCTTTTATTTTCTCTTCTTCTTCGGCCACCATCCTCTTTATTATTTTTGCCAGAAACTATTCATTGACATATTTCATCTATTTTTTGTTATTCTTCCTTGGCTTTCTTTCTTTCTTTCTTCCTTTCCTTCTTCCTTTCTTTCTTCCTTTCTTCCTTTCTTTCTTTCTTCCTTTCTTTCTTTCTTCCTTTCTTCCTTTCTTTCTTCCTTTCTTCCTTTCTTTCTTTCTACCTTTCTTTCTTTCTTTCTTCCTTTCTTTCTTTCTTCCTTTCTTTCTTTTCTCCTTTCTTTCTTCCTTTCTTTCTTTCTTCATTTCTTTCTTTCTTCCTTTCTTCCTTTCTTTCTTCCTTTCTTTCTTTCTCTCTTTCTTCCGTTTCTTCCTTTCTTTCTTTCTTTCTTCCTTTCTTTCTTTCTTTCTTTCTTTCTCGTCTCTTCATTCTTTCCATTACTTCATTTCAGCTTATTCAACGTCATTATTAATCTTTCCATTTAAAATTCTTTCTCTTCCCTTACACTTCTTCGTTTATTCTTTCATTTTTGTATCTTTCGCAGTTCTCTCTTTCTTTTTCTTTTTCTTTTTCTCTTTCTTTTTCTTTTTCTCTTTCTTTTTCTTTTTCTCCTTCTTTTTTTTATTTTCGCCACTATTAATGTTCCACAGCAATTTCTTCTTTTCCTTGACGCTCCTTCATTCTCTTTTTTTTTCCTTCTCTTTTTCCCTTCATTCTTATCTATTTTCCACACTCTCTTTTTCACTTCCCATCTTCCCATCTTCATCTATCTTCTTCGGTGCAACAATTAATCTCGCCATCGATTTATTTATTTTTTTTTTATTCCTGCTTTCTTTTCTTCATTTCTTGGTTCTTATCTCATTCTCAATTCTCATTCTCCATAATTCATTTTATTTTCTGTCATCTTCTCTTCCCCTGTTTACCTCTTCATCGAATTCCTTTTTCCTGACCTTCCTTCTTTCACTCTTTCCTTCTCTCTTTCATCTTCGTTCTTTTCCGCCTCATATTTCATTCATCTTTTTCGGCGCTACTATTAACCTCATCATCGAATTTTATTCTTTTCCCTAGGGAAAGAGAGACAAAAGAAAACAACGCTTGACATACCTAGCGACCTTAAGCAAGTGGATGATAGAACGTGGTCTGGGAAGAGGTGACAGAGAGAAGGAGCTTGTTGAGAGCTGCAAGAGATAGGAGAAAGTGGAGAGCCATGTTCGCCTACGTCCTGAAAGGACACGGCACATAGAAAGAAAAACAACCTTCCTGTTTCTATCTTCTTTCTTTCTTACTTCTTTTTTGGTGTTTCTACCTTTCTTCTTTATTCTTTTTCCACCTCAAATTCATTAATCTTTGGTTTGATTCTGTTATAGTGGAACACACCTATTCTTTATTATATTTCTATAATAAGTAGGAGTAGTAATAGTAACGAAAAGTCGCTCAGTGGTTCCTTCAGTCAATCGATTTTAAATGCGACCGTTAGTCGGATACTAAAAGTATCATTATTGTACAACTAGATTTCTCTGCGTCATTACCTATTATATCAAGTTCCTAACGTTTTGTACGTCGAACCTATTTTAGGACCGACTTAGTACAAATACAAGCCTCCACTGTGAAACCACTACATAACATCTTCTCCGTTGACGCCTTTGGCCTCTCCATCAAATTTTCTTTTTTTTTTTTTTCTTTTTTTTTTTTTTTTTTTGCCTTGACCCTCCTTCTTTCATTCCTTCATTCTTTATTTCTTTATTTATTTCCAATCCTTCTCTCTTTCTCCTTATTTTTTTGTTTCTCTACATCAGGGTCTTTATTGACTTCTCAATCGAATGTTTTTATTTTCCATAGATTTCTTTTTTTACTTCTTTCTTTCGTTCTTTCTTTCTTTCGTTCTTTCTTTCTTTCTTTGATTCTTCTCTCTTTTTCAGTCCTTCTCTATTTTCAACTTTTTCAACACCTCTGTGGACTTCTCCGTCGAATTTTCTTTAGTCCGACCTTTTCTCTCCTTCTTTTCATTCCTTCCTTCTTTTTCAATGCTTCTTTCTTTCTTCTTACTCTTCTTTCTCTTCCGTCTCATATTCATTCGCCTTCTTCATTGATCCTTTTTCTTGATCTACATTCTTTCTTTTTCTTTTATTCTTTCTTTGATTCTGTTCTCATTTTTTTAGTCCTTCTCCTTTTATCCAGAGTTTCTTCCATCTTCATCTTCAATGCCACTGTAGACTTCTCAGTCGAATTTTCTTTACCCCGACCTTTTCTCTCCTTCTTTTCATTCCTTCCTTCTTTTTCAATGCTTCTTTCTTTCTTCTTACTCTTCTTTCTCTTCCGTCTCATATTCATTCGCCTTCTTCATTGATCCTTTTTGACGATCTACATTCTTTCTTTTCTTTTATTCTTTCTTTGATTCTGTTCTCATTTTTTTAGTCCTTCTCCTTTTATCCAGAAATTCTTCCATCTTCATCTTCAATGCCATTGTAGACTTCTCCGTCGAACTTTCTTTTTTAGTCCGACCTTTTTAATCCTTCTTTTCATTCCTTCCTTCTTTTTCAATGCTTCTTTCTTTCTTCTTAAGAATTTTCTCTTCCGTCTCATATTCATTCGCCTTCTTCATTGATCCTTTTTCTTGATCTACATTTTTTCTTTTTTTTTTTTTTATTCTTTCTTTGATTCTGTTCTCATTTTTTTAGTCCTTCTCCTTTTATCCAGAGTTTCTTCCATCTTCATCTTCAATGCCACTGTAGACTTCTCCGTCGAATTTTCTTTACCCCGACCTTTTCTCTCCTTCTTTTCATTCCTTCCTTCTTTTCAATGCTTCAAATTTTTCTTCTTACTCTTCTTTCTCTTCCGTCTCATATTCATTCGCCTTCTTCATTGATCCTTTTCTTGATCTACATTCTTTCTTTTTCTTTTATTCTTTCTTTGATTCTGTTCTCATTTTTTTTAGTCCTTCTCCTTTTATCCAGAAATTTCTTCCATCTTCATCTTCAATTTTGGATGATAGACTTCTCCGTCGATTTTTCGAGATTACCCCACTCTACCTTTTCTCTCCTTCTTTTCATTCCTTCCTTCTTTTTCAATGCTTCTTTCTTTCTTCTTACTCTTCTTTCTCTTCCGTCTCATATTCATTCGCCTTCTTCATTGATCCTTTTTCTTGATCTACATTCTTTCTTTTTCTTTTATTCTTTCTTTGATTCTGTTCTCATTTTTTTAGTCCTTCTCCTTTTATCCAGAGTTTCTTCCATCTTCATCTTCAATGCCACTGTAGACTACTCCGTCGAATTTTCTTTACCCCGACCTTTTCTCTCCTTCTTTTCATTCCTTCCTTCCTTCCACCCTGCCTTCTTTTCTTCCTTCGATCCGTTCTTTCTTTATTTATTTATTTATTTCGTTCTCAATCCTTCTTCGTTTCCGTCCTGGGTATGATGATAAACTACATCCGCGACCTGGGTAAGACGATAAACTACATCCGCGTGCCGGGTAAGACGATAAACTACATCCGCGACCTGGATAAGACGATAAACTACATCCGCGACCTGGGTAAGACGATAAACTACATCCGCGTGCCGGGTAAGACGATAAACTACATCCGCGTCCTGGATAAGACGATAAACTACATCCGCGACCTGGGTAAGACGATAATCTACATCCGCGTGCCGGGTAAGACGATAAACTACATCCGCGTCCTGGGTATGACGATAAACTACATCCGCGTCCCGGGTAAACGATAAACTACATCCGCGTGCCGGGTGAGACGATAAACTACATCCGCGACCTGGGTAAGACGATAAACTACATCCGCGTGCTGGGTAAGACGATAAACTACATCCGCGTCCTGGATAAGACGATAAACTACATCCGCGACCTGGGTAAGACGATAAACTACATCCGCGTGCCGGGTAAGACGATAAACTACATCCGCGTCCTGGGTCTGACGATAAACTACATCCGCGTGCCGGGTAAGACGATAAACTACATCCGCGTGCCGGGTAAGACGATAAACTACATCCGCGTCCTGGATAAGACAATAAACTACATCTGCGTCCTGGGTAAGACGATAAACTACATCCGCGTCCTGGGTAAGACGATAAACTACGTCCAACAGAAAGGCCTCTGCTCCGAAGGTTTTGAGGAGTGTGGAACCACATCTTTATTGTTGGTGTTCCCAGGTCCACCCTGACCCGCGGTTGTAGCACCTGTTAGGGTCCCAGCTATGGGCAAATAGTTAACCCCTAAACTCAGATCAAAACACTATGAAAGTGTAAAAAAAAAAAAATAGGTTTTAATACTAGAAATACTTTGTATAAAAATTATTACCAGCAATCCATTTCTTAAAAAAAAAACATTACCAGCGAAGGAAAAATATTACCAGAAATAGGTTTTTGAAGGAAAAAATATTACCAGAAATAGATTTTTGAAGGAAAAAAATATTACCAACAGTGAAAATTTTGTCGGCATTAAATAACCCATTGAAGTTGATATGCCTTTAAACAAACCTAAACCAAACCAAAACCAAACCTTCTTTGTTTCTTTTTACTTTCTTCTTTCTTTCCCATCTTATATATATTCACCTCCTTCGTTGTTCCTATTAAACTACCCATAGAATTCTTGACTTTTTCTTGATCTACGTTCTTTCTTTCCTTCTTTCTCTTTCTTTCATTCTCTCATTCCTTCTTTCTCTTTCTTTCCGTCTTTCTTTCTTTCATTCTCTTATTCCCTCTTTCTTTTTCTTTCCGTCCTTCTTTCTTTCATTCTCTCATTCCTTCTTTTTCTTTCCGTCTTTCTTTCTCTCCTTCCGTCATTCCTTCTTTCTCTCATTCCTTCTTTCTCTTTCTTTCCGTCTTTCTTCTTTCCTACTCTCATTCCTTCTTTCTTTTTCTTCCTGTCTTTCTTTCTTTCATTCTCTCATTCCTTCTTTTTCTTTCCGTCTTTCTTTCTTTCCTTCTCTCTTTCTTTCATTGATTGTGATCACAGTCCTTCTCTCTTTCTCCTCAATTTCTATGTTGATCTTCTTCAACGCCGCTATCGATTTCTCTTCCTTCCTTCCTTCCTTCCTTCCTTTGATTCTTTTTTCTTTTTCTTTCTCAATCATTCTATCTTCTTTCTTACTTTCTTCTTTCTCTCCTGTCTCATATTCATTCACCTTCTTCTGTGTACTTATTAATCCATTCAATCTTCAACGTTTTCTATTTGTCTTTCTTTGTCTTTTTCTTTCTTTCTTTCTTATCTCTTTTTCAATTTTTCTTTCTTTATCCTTGATTTCTTCTTTATTCATCATTTTCGTCGCCGCTTCTGACCTCTGAATAGTATTTTCTTCTTATCGCTGACCTCCCTTCCTTCCTCCTTTCTTTACTTCCTTCCCTTATTTTTTTTTCTTTGTCCTTCTTGACAGACAAATTTGTCTTCTCCAATTGATTCTCACCTTTCAAAATCATCTTTTGTACTCTCATAACCCGTTTGTCTGTTTGTCTATCGGTATATCTTTCCATTTATCTCGAGGTAATTTTTTCATCTATGTTTCCCAATAGTTATGGGGTGAATCAAAACAAATGCCATCTAGGGCACTGGTCTTTAAGGATTGGACAGCATCCTTCTGGCTTCAAGTCTTTTAATGGGTTTAATGCCAAAGTTTATCAGCAAGTGGTCAGCGATTGCAAATAGGGTTAACGTTCGGGAGTGATAGAGCAGGGACGTTGATGAAGTGTTCCTTGCAGAGAATGGGGAAGGTCAGAAGAAAGAAAGAAAGAAAGAAAGAAAGAAAGAATAGAAACAAAAATTAGATAATGGAAATTTAAAAAGAAATTTTCTGTTCTGTCACGAATTAAAATTCTCCTCAGAAAAGAAATAAACAAGGAGAAAAGAAAAAAGAAAGAAAGAAAGAGGATGATATATGAGAAACAATAAGAAAGAAAGAAAGAATGAAAGAAAGAGAGAAAGAAAATTGTAATGAAAAAAAGAGATAATGTCAAATAAAATCAAGAAAAAAAATGCAGAAAGAAAGAAAGAAAGAAGTGACCTGAAACGAAAAAAAATAATAGGCGAAGAGTAAAATAAAGAAAAACGGAAGGGGAAAGAAATCATGAAAAAAAAGGACCAAGGAAAAGAAAAATAATGATACAAAAAAAAATGCAATAAAATTGTGAAAGAAAGAAAGAAAGAAAGAAAGAAAGAAAGAAAGAAAAGGGAGGAATGCAAAAAAAGATTTCAAAAGAGAAAAAGGAATTGAATAAAAAAGGAAGGAAGGAAGGAAGGATTGAAGAAAGAAAGAAAGAAAGAAAGAAAGAAAGAAAGAAAGAAAGCGCGAGAGACAGCGAGAAAGACAGGAGAAAGAAAGAAAGAAAGAAAGAAAGAAAGAAAGAAACCCATTGGAAATAGAAAAAATAATAACAATCGATGAAAGAAAGATAGAAAATTATTGAAGAAAGAAAGAAAGAAAGAAAGAAAGAAAGAAACCCATTGGAAATAGAAAAATGATAACAGTCGAAGAAAGAAAGACAGAAAATTATTGAGGAAAATAAAGAAAGAAAGAAAGAAAAGAAAAGAAAAGGAGGAATGCAAAAAAAGATTTCAAAAAGAAAAAAGATTGAATAAAAAAGGAAGGAAGGAAGGAAGGATTGAAGAAAGAAAGAAAAAAGAAAGAAAGAAGAAAAAGAAAGAAAGAAAGAAAGAAGAAAGAAAGCGAAAGACAGCAGAAAGACAGCAGAAGAAAAGAAAAAAGAAAGAAAAGAATTAGAAATAGAAAAAATAATAACAATCGATGAAAGAAAGATAGAAAATTATTGAAGAAAGAAAGAAAGAAAGAAAGAAAGAAAGAAAGAAAGAAACCCATTGGAAATAGAAAAATGATAACAGTCGAAGAAAGAAAGATAGAAAATTATTGAGGAAAAATAAGAAAGAAAGAAAGAAAGAAAGAAAGAAAGAAAGAAAGAAAGACAAATTAAGAAAGATAGTTCTGAAAGGCAGATAACCCTGTCGCCTAAATAAAGACAACGAAATACAATAAGAAATTTAATAATTGAAAAGAATGATAGGAGTGGTGGACCCGTCAGGGCAATAATAAAAATTAGCGGCCAATGGATAAGGAAACAGGAAAAGAATAAAAGCAAAAAGAAAGCGACCCTTCCTCCACCTTCTGCCATCACATAGAGAGAAAAAAAAGAGCAAAGATAAAAGAGGAAAGGAAAGTCAAAGAAAAAGCAAAGAGAAGATGAGGACAGGTTGTACGGTCCTAAAGGGGGCGGTGTTATTCCACTTGGTGTATCGTAGATTAATGGCGCGCGTCTATCGCTTGATTCAATCTATTACTGAGTCTCCGCCGGTCGCCATCTTCTTTTCTTATTCAATCCATCAATTCGGATCCAACGGGACAGTTCGCTTATCAAAAGAAACGAACATCTTTTCTCGTTAGCTAATCTGGACTGACCCTGACACTGTTACCACTACTTTGCTTTCAGCTATAATAGCCCGACCAGTAACAGAGTCCGGGGTCTCTTTCTTCCAAACATCTCTCATATATATATATATATATATATATATATATATATATATATATATATATATATTGAATGTTTGCCCTTTCATTCATCCCAATCTCACCTCTTCTGTTTTTCATCTCATCCTATTCCTCCTTCTCTTCATTATAATTTTTGGTAGTCGTAGTTTTTTTCACTACAGATGTATCTTACACTCACTGAACAAGGGACAACAAGACTTAAATTTCCAAGAGTCTATTATTCGCTGCAGTTTTCACTCGAAGACAACATTGGAGAGGCATGATTTTGTCATTTTTTTGTCCCAATTTGTAATCTCTACCTGCCGTGTCCCATCAGGGCAAAAGTGATCATGTCTCTCCACCGTTTCCTCTCTTTTATAGCTCTTACTAAATTTTGTCTTTTTATTATTGCTTCTAAACCTTTTTCCGCCTTCCATTTCTTCTTCTATACGTCGTGTACCTTCAGGATGTTGGCTGCCATGTCTCTCCACCATTTGCTGTCCTTTGTAGCCCCTAACAAATTTTGTCTTTTTTTATTCTTCCTAAACCTTGTTCCGTCATCCATTTACTCAATCTCACTAAATATGTTATGCGTTGTTTACTTCTGTCCCTCTTGCCTTCATTCTGTCTTGTGAGTATCAGATTTTCCAAGCCCTCTTTCTTTAGTATATGCGCTAGACATTTCAGCTGCCGCTTCCTGATGTTAAATATAAGTGTCCTTTTGTTTCCATTTTCTCTAAAACTTTGTCGTTGCTCACATATTCAGCCCGTGGTATCCCCAGCATCCTTCTGTAGAACCACATTTCTGTTGTTTCAGGTTTCTTCTTCATCTCTGAAGAGATTGTCCAGCATTCGCTGTCATATAGGAGGACAGATATCACATAACATTTCAGTACTCTTTTCTTTCCAACAAATTTTTTCTATTTCTTTCGCTATTCGGATCTCAGTGTAGCACTTTCCTTCCTCTGTTAACACTCTTTCCAAATATGTTTGATTTTGGTATCTACAATTTGCAATTCACAATTTTAGCTTATCCTTTTACGAACAATTATGCATTCTGTCTTTTTGCAGTTGATGTATAATCCTTTCTTGTTTTCTTTCACTAACTTCTGTAGGAGTTTTCTTTCTTTCTTCTTTTTTATTCAATTCATTTTTCTCTTTTGAAATCTTCTGCATTCTACCTTTTCTTTCTTTCTTTCTTTCTTTCTTTCTTTCTTTCCTTTTTATTTTTCCTCAATAATTTTCTATATTTCTTTCATCGATTGTTATCATTTTTTCTCTTCCCAATGGGTTTCTTTCTTTCTTTCCTTCTTTCTTTCTTTCTTTCTTTCTTTCTTTCCTTCTTTCGTTCTTTCTTTCTTTCCTTCTTTCTTTCCTTCTTTCTTTCCTTCTTTCTTTCTTTCTTTCGTTCTTTCCTTCTTTCTTTCGTTCTTTCTTTCTTTCCTTCTTTCTTTCTTTCTTTCTTTCTTTCTTTCTTGTCGGTCTTATTTTCCCTAAATGCATTTCTATTTCTTTCTTTCCCTTTTATTCAATTCCTTTTCTCTATTGAAATTTTTGTTGCATTCCTCTCTTTTCTTTCTTACTTTTTTCTTTCTTTCTTTCTTTCTTTCTTTCTTTCTTTCTTTCTTTTGCTATATTCAATTCCTTTTTTCTTTTAAAATATTCTGAATTCCACCTTTTCTTTCTTTCTTTTTTATTCAATTCATTTTTCTCTTTTGAAATCTGCATTCTACCTTTTCTTTCTTTCTTTCTTTCTTTCTTTCTTTCTTTCTTTCTTTCTTTCTTTCTTTCTTTCCTTTTTATTTTTCCTCAATAATTTTCTATATTTCTTTCATCGATTGTTATCATTTTTTCTCTTCCCAATGGGTTTCTTTCTTTCTTTCCTTCTTTCTTTCTTTCTTTCTTTCTTTCTTTCTTTCTTTCGTTCTTTCTTTCTTTCCTTCTTTCTTTCTTTCTTTCTTTCCTTCTTTCTTTCTTTCTTTCCTTCTTTCCTTCTTTCTTTCGTTCTTTCTTTCTTTCCTTCTTTCTTTCTTTCTTTCTTTCTTTCTTGTCGGTCTTATTTTCCCTAAATGCATTTCTATTTCTTTCTTTCCCTTTTATTCAATTCCTTTTCTCTATTGAAATTTTTGTTGCATTCCTCTCTTTTCTTTCTTACTTTTTTCTTTCTTTCTTTCTTTCTTTCTTTCTTTCTTTCTTTTGCTATATTAAATTCCTTTTTTCTTTTTAAATATTCTGAATTCCCCTTTTTTCTTTTTTTTTTTTTTTATTCAATTCATTTTTCTCTTTTTGAAATCTGCATTCTACCTTTTCTTTCTTTTCTTTCTTTTCTTTCTTTCTTTCTTTCTTTCCTTTTTATTTTTCCTCAATAATTTTCTATATTTCTTTCATCGATTGTTATCATTTTTTCTCTTCCCAATGGGTTTCTTTCTTTCTTTCCTTCTTTCTTTCTTTCTTTCTTTCCTTCTTTCTTTCTTTCCTTCTTTCTTTCCTTCTTTCCTTCTTTCTTTCCTTCTTTCTTTCGTTCTTTCTTTCTTTCCTTCTTTCTTTCTTTCTTTCTTTCTTTCTTTCCTTCTTTCTTTCTTATCGGTCTTATTTTCCCTAAATGCATTTCTATTTCTTTCTTTCTTTTTTATTCAATTCCTTTTCTCTATTGACATTTTTTTTTGCATTCCTCTCTTTTCTTTCTTACTTTTTTCTTTCTTTCTTTCTTTCTTTCTGTCTTTCTTTCTTTCTTTTGCTATATTCAATTCCTTTTTTCTTTTGAAATATTCTGAATTCCCCCTTTTCTTACTTTCTTTTTTATTCAATTCATTTTTCTCTTTTGAAATCTTCTGCATTCTACCTTTTCTTTCTTTCTTTCTTTTTTTCTTTCTTTCTTTCTTTCTTTCCTTTTTATTTTTCCTCAATAATTTTCTATATTTCT